GTAAATTTCAGTTGTTTCTTTTAAATTCTGCATAGAATTTCAGTGTTATGGGCATGTAGGACATTTTAATTCGATATTCAGCTATTCAGTAGTTGTTTTTGTAGCGAATTGAATATTGCATTGAATATTGAATGTGTTTTCGCTTTACTTTAAGCTAGTAATTGAAATAGCTTGTGTGTTTGTCTGTTTGCCAGCTTCTGTTGCAACAATTAAATTCACACTAAGCCGCTCCAGCCGCACGACTCGTTCAAATTGCATTCAATTTATGGCCTTCGTGTTGCCAAAGTACTCGAATTTCCCGATTTACACATTTATGGCAATTGTATTTCAAAGGCTGTCCCCTCTCTATGTGTGTGTGTGTGATTGTGTGTAAAGGTGTTTGTGTGCACACACCTGTAATCCGGGGCAATTTATGTTCGGGTATTATCTACAAGTAATTGCCTTTCGATTTTCATAAAATTTCATTTGCAGCCAGCAAAGGCCCAAAATTTCAATGCATATTTTATGCCCAAAAAGGAGAGATGAAAAATCGCTGTTGTTGTTGTTGTTGTTGCTGAGATAAGTTGACTTAATCACTTTTGGCATGCAAATAAGGCTGCATGCAGCATGGCAACTGTGTGGCGATAAATAACGACGATTCTAATGACAGAGTTCAGAGTTCACAAAACGCTTCCCTGGCAAAGTTTCTCTTGTTGCCACTCATCAATATTGATTGCACTATGTGTGTGTGTGTGTGTTTGCTAGTGTATGTGTATGTGTGAGTGTGTGCAGGTGCCATGCTATTTTACAATTTTCGGCACGAATTTGTTATGCCACAAATCCCCAGCAGCGCTTGTCAAAACTGTGTTGCCTGTTGCCTGTTGCCAGCTTGCCACGCTGGCCAGAAGTGTGGCTGAGAACGGATTGGCCAACGCCCCCGCTTGCAATCAGCCAATCAGCCAATCATAAATAGTTCATTACGTTTGCACCGAACTGGCAAAGGGGCCAGCGCAGCACAGTGGGGCCAGGCGTGTGTGAAATGCGAGATGAAGATTATAAAAATATATGTTAATAATATAATTGAATTAAGGCTTGAATAAATTTGATATTTGGTTTTATTTTATATTATATTATACATTATTATTGGTTTATAAATATTATGTCTATAATACAAATTCGATTCCTATTCTAGGTTAATAAGGACACATCTATAATATCGATATAGATAACAGCAATTTGCTTTTTATCAAGCATACATATATACTAAAAATCCAGTTTTAATAGCTTTGATATATTTTTGAAATCTTTTATAATATTCCTATAAAATAAACTTTCCTCTTAAACTTAAACTAATGTATCAATTGCTAGTGTTATCGATAATAGTAAAATGCTGCAAATTTAAATGTCTTTTTTATATATATTTTTAATTGCATTTTAAATATTTCAAAAATAATTAAGATAAAATTTCTCCTCACCATTGTGTTTGCTCCACTGTGCCGCTGCAAAGTTTTGACGATTACAGTTGTGGGACAGCATAGAATAGTAGAGCAGGAGCAGAGAAAGCTTGTTGGGTGTTTTGGGAATTTGTAGCGCATTAGAGAAACATTTTCGAGTCAGACCAAGCGATGCGATGCGATGCGATGGGATGCGATGCGATGCATTGGCATTAATTTATCCAGTTTTGCAGATTGAACGGCGCAAACTGTTTGGCTTGTTGCATATTTGAAGCGATTGCAAAGGCGGCGGCTGCCCCACGTGAGATGAATTCTGTGGTGGGAGGAGGCGAGGGGACTGGTGGGGGCGCTGGCACGTAAACAGCTGAAAGCAGATTGTGAGAACGTGCTGCGAGTTCAATAATAACAAGTCCGTTATGGCTGATGCCAAATTGCTATTTATTAAAAATCAATGTGGCTGGCAACAAAATCAGCAGAATTTAACCAGGTGGCATGCTGGCAAGGTGGCAAGGTGGCAAGCTGGCAAGGTGGTGTGACATGCTGGTGGCAACTGTGTGGCATGGTGTTGCTGTCTCTGTCTGTCCCTGTCTGCGTGTGTGTGCGACATCTGCTGAGCCTCGGGGCCGCAGTGCGGTCCGTGTTGCTGCCATGCTCCAATAACTGTTGCAGCAACACCCACACACACACACACACATGCAGAGCTGGCCACATATGCCAGTGGTTGTGGAGGCAGCACCGGCATCTGGTCAGCCAGGCGACATTTCCGGGTAGTTTGAAGTAATTGCTTTGCAAGCTGTTGCCCTGGACATGAACGCAACGATGTCGCACAAGTCTGTTGCACAGCTGTAGCCAGACCCCAACCGGGGGGTGGGGGACTTTTGGGGGGTAGAGCTGCAAAGGGAGCGGCGGACGGGTGGTTGGCGTTGTCGTGGTCAGAGCTTAGCCAGCAAGCGGCTTAGGCTGGGCAGTCGAGCCAACTGACTGCGGCCCACGCGGCGTATGAGAAATTTGTCAAGTAAATTGCGCTGCCAAAGCGAATTTGGCAGCCAAGAGCTGGCAGCTTAAGCAGCGAGGGTCAATCGAGCAGTTTGACGTAATTGATTTCAATTGAATTGAAATGAATTGATATGTTCTCTCTGAAGTATTCTACATAGCTCTGGATTAGTGGTATATACGGCATCCATATCAGCAACGAGCTGACAGCTTGGGTGGCGAGGGACAATCGAAGAGTTTAGCGTGAGTGATATTAATACAATCGGAATCGTAATGTCGGTTGGGACATTGTGCTCGACTGTGATTTCGGTTATTTTTGATTGAAAGAGCTTGCGGCTTAAGCAGCGAGGGCTGCTTGTTAAGTTTCTCGTTATTCAGATGAATTGATATGTTAATTCGAATTTTCTGAAGAAATATCATAAATTCTATTAGTGTCTTAGTTAAAAGTTAACAGTAAAAATCGATTTATCAAACTAGCGTAAGAGACTCTCTTAAATATTGTAGGTTCTACCACATTTTACTTACTGCCCTCGCCGAATATCTACGTGACTCTGAATGCAATTTTTTGCAGTTGTTACAGCTCGACGGGGCATGCAAGCTGTGCACTTTCTTTGCAGATTTTTTTTTGGCCCAAACTGTTTTTATATTTCCACAGCCCGCCAACAGATGGCGTATGTGTGTGTGTATCCGTGGCAGGATCCGTAAACATATCCGGCAACGGCTTTGCATTGCGAGCCGCGCGTTTTGCATATTAACTAAGTGAAACATTTCGTTGACAACTTTTCAAACATTTGTGCGTCCTGTGCAAATATTTACCTACATGCAAGACAAATACCGTTAGACAGAGAGTGAGCGAGACGGGGAGAGTGGGAGATAGAGTTGTCTTCGATTTAGGGTCCGTTTTTTTTTGTCGCCTCAAGACGTTCAAAATTGAAATTTAAATTCGATACAAAATACTTTGGCATAGAACATAGTCAAAATAAAAGAATACAACAAAAAAAGGGAAAAGGACTTCGGGGCGCATCCTTTTGACCGTATCGCTTAACATTTTCCTAAGCAGCATTTTTATTTATCACTCGAGCGGGAGGGGAGGCCGCATACAAATTTCAAATGAAGCAAGGCCAATAAGTCCCTCCCCTTCAGCTCCATCCGCTGCTGCTCCCACTCCTTCTGTCTGCTCCAGGATTTGTGCAAAAACAGCTAACTGAAAGAGGGCGACGGCGAGTGTGTGAGAGAGAGAGAGAGAGAGAGAGCGAGAGGGAAAATAACGAAATGTGCTATACGCCAACATATTTATTAAATATTGAATGTTTTCCTTTGCCAGCTGCCTGCAGGCGCACCCAGCATATCCTGGCTTCATCCTCGCTTCGTTTTTTTTTTTTATGTTTTGTCTTCTATTTTCGTGTCCTTTACGCTTGCGGCAAGCAGCGCAGCGCACCCTCGAAGCCAGCTCGACCGAGAGGGGCTTTCATAAATATTTCTTGTATGCAAATGTTTGTTGTCGATCAATGTTGTTGTTGTTATTGTTGTTGTTGTTGTTGTTGGCAACCATCATGCCGCATTAGTGAGTCATTTGGGCAAGAGTCTTTATGGCTAGATAATAATACGATGACAATTCGTGGCTAGCCATAAAAGACATCAAATGCGCTCTTCATAAGCCATCAGAAGGTCCACACAGCAGTCGCAACACTTTGCTATGCTCAGTTATCAGTTATAGTTGATGCAATAGAAGATTGAGAGAGAGAGAGAGAGAGAGAGTGACTGGGAGATACTCTGCATTTGCATTTAGAAATTTCATTGTCTTCCGTAAGAGCAGAGCAGAGCGCTCGCTCTATCTCGATGTTTCTAGACAGAGATAAAAGTGAGGAACTGATAAACGTATGCATATCATATCACTAGAATATATGTATATCAGTTTAAATTTTAGTATATATGTATGTTTGTATATTCAAAATATATAAATAAATATAAACTTTTCACTTTAGTTTATGTGCGATATATGTGTATGAGTGTGAGTGGGAGTCTGTGTGTGTGTGTGGATGTCGATTTAATGTATGGATTTTAAATACTATGCGGGCCAGAGTATTTTCTAGTCGGGTACTGTTAGGTTAAGCGAACTTCCGTCAGCTAATTGTACCCTGGACCCATTTGAAATAGGAAATTAGGGTATAACGGTTTTATCTGTATTTTTAACGTACTTTACAAGAAAATCAAAATATCGCAAGAATTCTTAATAAACAGATTCTTACGATCTATGCGATCGTTTTTGATGATAAAAATATAGTAAAATATAATATAGAATTCCATTGTGAATGAATTCAAAATATGTATAATATATATTTCAACTGTGAATTCTCTTGAAACAATCCTCATACAGAAAGCTGAACAAGTATAGTTTTATGTATATCCAAATATATAGCCGAAGAGAGAAAGAGATAGAGAACGAGAGTGAGAGAGAGAGTGTGTGAGACTGAGCCTTGTTAAATGCCATTGTAGTTTTATTTTTAGTTTTTAGTTAATTTTTTATTATTATTATTTTTTTAAATTTGTTTTCTACCTAATATTTTGATTGCGAGTTTATGGGAGTTATTTATCGGGCACATCGTTCGAGTTACTTGAGACATTTATTTCCTTTTGCCATAGATCTCGACGGTGGAGTCGATGCCACGGCTGACCTGGCTGCGCAGATTGATTTGGGCATAACGGTAGCCGGGGCCGCCGCTCCACAGGCTGGGCGTGGCACCGGAGGTGTTGCGGAAGTTGTCGATCACATTGATGAAGCTGATCGTGTAGTTGTTGCTGGTGCCCTGCATAAAAAGCTCAGGGTTAAACTTGGTTGCACTTAGCATATTCCGGTCGAGCTACTTACGGCACGTGGGTAATCGATATTGACGCTCCAGTAGTTGTTCTTGAGTGGGGCACGCCTCTCGTTCTGGCGGGAGAGTAGGATATCGGTGTTGTTGCGCTTGCCCCAGCTGGAGCTGAAGGCCTGGCTGGCGGCGAAGACGGCCAGCAGTAGAAGGCAGCTGTATAGGAATTTCATTTTGTTTAGTTGTTCGTTTCTAGTTTCTACTTCGAAGACGTTCGATTTGACTCTGTTTCAGGTCTGCCCGGCCAGCTGCTTATATAGTAAGCACTCGGCGTATGAGTAATATTGTTTACACACGAGTGGGGGGACTTTTAATTAAATTTTTTTTTGCCGTAACTGAGAAGTGTTTCGGCTTTTTTTGCGCTACACATTTATTGTTGTCTGCGATAAGCCTGGCCGGGCATGGGCGTCGTCGTGGGCAGGTGAACAGGTGAACAGTTGCAGCGCAACAGGCGACTGCCCCTGCTCTTCGTTTAATCAGTTCGTTTTTGATAAGCGAACAGAATATTGTTTTTCTCTTATTACAATTTCTTTGAGTCATGCCACTCGACTGGGCCTTACTTTAGACATGTGTCCGTTGTTGATGGCCGATTCTACTTAGTTAATCGTAGATCAGAATTAAATAGAAAAAAATCACATACATTTTAAAGTGCCATCAAATTCGTGGAAGCTGCTTTTGGCCAATAGAAATTGATAACCATATCATCACTTGGTGCCTCTTTTGGTTCTTTTTCCTCAGGTATTTTTATTTGTATCGGCTGAAAATAGACAGGCCTTATCATACAAACGAAATGTAAAATATGCAAATGCTATCAATTCTGTACATTTTTTTCCATTCATTTTTTAAAGTGTATTTTATTTTTGTCTGCTTACTAAAATAGAATTTTTTGCTTTGCCACATTGCTGTGATGTCTAAAGCTCTGCTATTATAAAGCCTCACTCAACTCTCAGCTCTCGCTACGCCATTTTTGTTTGTGTTTATGTATTGAATATTTTAGACTTGCTCTCTCCCTTTGCTCTCAATGCTACTCAGCAGTGTAGTTGTTGTTGCTAGCATATGCTTATTTTCAATGCTCGCGTGCAGCATTTCAATGATCCGTTATGCCTTGCTCTTTTTGTTGTTTTTGCATTTGCTAATGCATGCTCTTATTTCTAGTCTGTGTCCCACACATTTGAAATCTCAGCTCTGCCTTCACGACTTCTTTTCCTTTAAGCATTTAGCTGCCGCTTTTGTTGTTGTATTTTATTGCTCTCGATGCTTCGCTTTGTGTTTGCTTGTGCATTTGACGTTGTAGCTCTTCTTACTCTCGGTGCCTTGTTGTGTGTCTCCCTCTCATTCCCGCCGAGTTGCTGTTCTTTGTCGTTGCAATGCTTATGCGAGCCTCTGCTCTCGTCTCGCTGCTTCTGAGCGCTATTTTCATAATCCTTTTTGTGTTACCTTCGCACTTGCAGGTAGCGTTTTCGCTTTTTTCGATTGTTGTGTAATTGATCTTTGATTAGTTTTCGCATGCACACGTTAAGAAGTGGCTGCTAATTTTATCAGACGCGAGTGCATTAATTTTCAGCTTTTGTGTTAAGTGGCATATGCATGTGTATCTGTTCAGTGTAGCATTAAATTGTGAATAAAAAAATTAAAAACAAATAATAAGTGTCGTAAATTGTGTTGGTTATTCAAAACATTCATATACATACATATTTACATATGCTAATTGCGCATTGTTAACAATGCATTACACGCACAGTCATAATTGTTGCTGCTGTGGGTTAATGCTTTAATTTTTAGTAATTAAAGCGTTGATACATATATTTATATAAAGTTATTTATGTATACAAAAATACTAGAAAAGTAAATTATCTTAAATATCTAATCCTCTGCAGTTTCTAGGCCCCGTTATTGGCTTTGCTGCTGAGCGAAAACTTTTGCGCTCTTTCTTCTTCTCTTGGCATGCTTGGCGGATTCACGCTCTCTTTGCATTCTTATAAGATTTCTTTACATTCGTATTAACATTCGCCTAAAATAGTGCTTTTCTGTTAAGTACATTAACAGTGGAATCTGTACATGCTGTTTTTTTTTGCTGATGGGTGCAATAACAGCTTATGTTAGCCATGAAGTATTTATTTGAATTTAATTCGTTTATCTCATTTAACAGGAATGTAAAAATGATAAAACCATTTCTGTTGAACTGTTCATATCGTTATCAATACTATCTCTCTATAATTAATTTGCGCACGTACGAATGTGCTGATCAATCAAAAAGAAAAAAAAACTACAAAACTGTTTATTTACTATTTTAGAAATTGCTATGATTGTGTCTAGCCTACGCCTTAGGTTACGCAAAAAGCAAATATTTCTCTGTTAAATGCAAAATTTACTTGAATTTATGGCAAAGTTCTTTGGGCAATAGACTTGCTAATCGCCAATAAATAATTGAATATAATGTCTCAAAGGTCATTCACACACGTTGCTCTGCGTCTTGCATATGGAATCCATTCTAATAGCACTTAAACAATTGCATATCGATTGCAGCTCTTGCTTAAAGTGGCAAAGCAAACAAGCAAACATACGGGAAATATGCATTTCGTCTACAAACTGCAAATAACAACAAATATTTGCCTGAGGTTAGAGCATCGTTATGTGTGGAATTTGTTTAATTATGCCCGAAAGTTTGTGGGTTCATTAAAATGCTGATTC